CCCTGCGGTCCCGGCTGCTGCCGGCCCCGCCCGCCGCCGCCGGGCCCTCACGGAGCGGGCCGGGGCTCCGGTGGCCGCGGGAAGTGGCGGCGCTGCCTGCGCTGCTGTGGGAGCAGTGGGATCGTTCCTGCACCGCCTGACCGATCTGCACAGACCGCTGCCGCTACTGAGCGCGGCTGTTCCCTATCGTTATTGCTTTGGTATGCAGGCAAAACCCATCGAGTGCCAGCCTTCGGTCCTTAATCTCCAAGTCACGGTGTTAGAGGTTTTTTTCCCCTTCTGGCTTTTAAATGTTTCAAAACGCCAGGGGAGGTTCAGGCATTAGGAGGAATTCATTCACAGAAAGAATGATTAGACGTCGGAATGAGTTATCTTTAAATACTAAAACAGCTATGGAGGTGTTTAAAGAAAGCCTGGCCGTAGCACTCAGTGCCATGGTCTAGTTGGTGTTCCGCCAAAGGTTGGGCTCCATAATCCCAGAGGTTTTATCCAACCGAATTGATTCTGTGATTCCATGAAAACTTATAACTAATTTGCTGTCTTCTAAATTCCTTGTCCTTCACATCAGAGAAACAAGCAAGCAGCTTGAGAGGGATAGTTTGACTAAACTATTCACTAAGAGTTTAGACTGTTACATGAAAAGTAGAAATGCTACTGGTTTTTATTATTCCAAAGTGTATTCATTTCACTTAAATCTAGATTCTGTTGATGATTTCAACAAAGGCAAAGTTCAGCACTTACTAGCCTGAACAAGTTTGTGTGCATGGCAGCACCGGTGGCTTCTGTCCCAGCAATCACCTTATAACAATACTGCCAGTTTGGTGGAGGAGCTGGGATTTTTTTTCCCTTACTCTGTGAGAAGCTGATTCACAAGGCAATGACTTGCACAGCTGGGTTATGCTGTGTCCTAGATTTAAAGTCATGGACACAACAAAATACTGATGTGGGAATTCATGCATCACTGAGTTCCAATGCAGCATAAGCATGTTCTGGCATGCAGCCACAGGTAAGGCAAGGTGGGAAATGAGCCCTTCTGCCAGGTGAAAGGTCTGATCAAGCAGACACATTTTAGGTTTTTGTGACAGAAGGGCTGGCTGACAGTGATGACTGTGAAATTATTAAAACTCTGGTTTAATAAATTGGTATGTGAAATCCAGTTATAATTTAGCTGTGATTTTAAGCAAGCCATGCACTTTGGAATAATAGATATATTGCTCTAAGAGAGTACAAGATAAAGTCATAAAGTGGATAGGGGTCTGTCATACCAAAAGCTTGCAGTCATCCATGATCATTCAGCTATTAAGGCTCATATTCAAACCCTGTAGTTTTTGCCTAAAACTGAACTATAAAGTCTGGACTGAACTATAAAGTCTGGATTACACTGGGGATTAAAAAAATACTCAATTGCACCTAGATTATCCAAGAAAGAATGTAAATTGGAAACTCCTATGGACAAGTGGCTTCAAGTATTCCTGAAGCAGGAAGCAGCCTGAACTTGTTTCACAGTTTCCCTATGTATCTCCTGTAGAGAAAAGATGCAAGAGTCCTTTCCACCCCTTCTTTCTCTTCCTTCTCTGCCAAGATGCTAGTTAGGAAGCTCTGGAGTACCCATGAAAAGAAGAATCTGTACTTCCCAAGATAATATGGCCAGCCACTTCACAGTGAAACAAGGAAAATCAAGGACTCCTGAAGCGGTGTCTTACTGATGTAGAGTCTGACCAGAGTAAGTCTCGGATTTGAGGCCTCCTATGCATTTCCCACCTGTGGAACTGGAGTATTCCTGTATCACCAGTTAGCCAAACTTAATCTTGTGTTGACACAAAATTCCGTTGTGTCAAATTCTCCTCGTTTTATTATAAATCTCAAACTTTTTGATGGTTCTTTTAAATTTGTGGTTTGTGAAGTTCTGTCATTAAATAAGGAGCCTGGGTCTTATTTTACCTATTTTACTTGTAAGACTGCTTTAAAATAATGATTTTAAAAATAAGAACTCTACATTGGTTTAAATCAAATACCCCAGGTTTTGTAAGCCTGGAACTCCACTAGCTTGTCCAGCATTTTTAGGGGATGAATGCATGAATGCAGACCTCACTGTAATTACCCAAACCCTTTAACTCTCTGCTAGGAGGGTCTCCAAGGGCACAGATATCTGCCATGTTGTGTTTCTCTCATCAAGGTATACCCATCCTCTATTGCCTGAAGGACCTGAGCTGTGAAACATTCTCCAAACCAGCCTGCTAGACCTTGCAGTAACAAGGCATACCTTCAGATTTCCACTGTGTCCAAGCTAGATTTGACCTGGTATGAATGCCGAGTGTCACAACCAACAGGCTGTTTGCTGGTTGTTTGGGGATCAAACTCCTCCAAAGTACACTCAGGTATTTTCACTCATGGTGGAGCAGATTTGACAAGTAAACGACTCAGTCTGCAACAGCAAACAGCCTTCCAAGGGGAATCTCCTGGCAGGTGGTGGATGGGTATGACATAACCATATCCCAAATGTATGTTCCTAACAACCAGACTACACATTAAGCAAATAGAACTTATTCTCCTGCAGGTAGCTGTTAGAAAACACTGTTTTTAGTGCCAATCTTATGGCTGGGATTTCTTAGCAGAGGCATGGGATTAAATTATATTTTCTTAAGGTTTCTTCCTGGCCTTCTTATGTAGCTTCCAGTCTGTAGGCTTTGTATATCCCACACTTCACTGGCTCCAAGGCAGCATGTGAGAAACTCACATTTCTGCACCTAGAAAAGGCATCTTCAAATTCTACAAAGCATCACAGCATGTAAAAATGTGGTGATGCCGTTTATAGTACTCAAGCCTTCTGGGGGACCCAGGCGCATGAATAGTTTTCATTCTTTAGGGAAAATACCATAAGGATTCAGCTGTCCAGAACAGGTTTTCCAGTGTGGAAAATGTGCAGGAAGGTGTCCAAGCTCCAAGTACGATCAGAGTTTGATGGTTTCTGGATGGACCATAAAGAATAAGAGTTGCGTTTCAGTATCTACCCTATGCAGTCAGTGGGGAAAGGCCATGGATACCTCTAAAGAGCACACTGTCAGTGATTTGTGTCTGATCCTTCCCCTGTGGCAGTTCCAAGACTGGAAGCAACCTTTACAGTCATCAAGCCTGTATTTCACATGGACACAGGACATACAGATCAAGGATTAGGTTTTGTTGAAAGTAGGGAAGGCACTCCCTACATTTCCAAAACAGTATAAGAGATCTGCCTTCTTGGAGCTGCAGCCTCTGCACAGCATATAACTACATGCTAAATAGATTGGTTTTCCAAGACCAACAGCCTGACAGTATTGGGTGCTTCAGCAGAGAAATCTACATGCCTGTTGCATGGAAATTAAAGGGGGAAAATTATTATGGATTTCAGTGGTTTGGGATATGACTGTCTCTATTAAAACCTTTACTTAAATATACCCTTAACTGGTAGCATGTAAGAAATAATTGAACAAGACAATCCTGAGTAATTCATCAGTACCTCTATTCTTTCCAGAGTTACACATCAGCTATTTACACAATATGATTTGTTTTAATTTTTTTATTCAGCATGTTTTATGCATTAGTATCAGAAAAGCCTGTCTTTCTCTTGGCAAATGTTGCTCCAAGTTGTCTAGCAGGGACATGTATTATGTAAATTTATTTATTCAGAATGTAATTTGCATAAATGAAAAATGGAAATAAACACTTTTTTTTAGTATTAAAGCCTTTTTTCCCCTTCAAGGTGAAACAAAAAGTGTGTGTAGTACACTCATAAAGATTTCCAGATTTTTTTTAGGTGGACTATTAGTCACTTCAATGTCTGGGCCCATTTTCTTTGATTTGGATGCTTTAATGTCTGAAAGCATATTCTATGTGTAAGATTAGGAAGAGACAATAGAACAGATTGGAATTAATTTGCTTATAAGCAGTCAAAGGTGTCCTGTTAAAAAAAAAATTCAAAGCCATATTAAGCATTTTAGATATACTGGGTAAACTGTTGGTTTGGAGGTCTGCATGGTTCCAAATCAGTGCCTATTCAGAAAAACCCTGTGCTGCAAAGGAAATTGGCATTGTGTGTGTTTGATCCAGACATGGATCAATATCACATGAAATCTGGGCAGAGACCTACATCTAATGGCCCACCAGCCCAGACATGTCTGTCTCAGATCAGTGGTGCCTGCAAAGCTTATCTGGCTGGGAGAGGGACTGTGTTATGGTCCAGGCTGTTAGATATCTAGGAATGCACCTAATTCCTGGGGGAGAAAACCCACAGAAAAGTTTATTAGCATTGTTACCATTCAGAATGCATGAATTACTGTGCAGTGCAGAATATCTGTCCTGTTGGGCAGTCCAAGCTCTGATTAATGCATCCCAGGAATCCCTTCAGAGCTAGTGTTCTGTTCCTCTGGATAGTGCTGTGTTTCATACTGTAGGGGGGTTTTTTTGGGTTAAATTGAAGGAAAAAAAGCATATCCTACATTCAGTGCATCTGGAAGTGAGGAATCGATTGCCCTCTTTCTTTCAATAGATATGCACAGCTCTGGGACCTATGGCATTATTCCTGAGGTCAGTGCTTTGGGTTTACCACTATTTTATTTATTCATGTCTGCAGAGGTCCTCTTTTTCTCTCCATATTCTCCATCATTCACCAGTACCTCCTGGTAGCCCACCCTGGTCCCACAGCCCATCCGTTCTCAGAGCTGACCCTCACTGGGGTCAGGATGCGATTAGGTGGCTGCAGACCATAAGGAGTATTAATCACAAGGAACACTTAGATGTTGCTTTACAGACTTCCTTATGTGAAATATGCTGTGGCAAGCTATCGGGTTACCAGTGGCTGAAACAGAAATAGTTCTCTCTTTGCCCTTGACAGTCAAAAGAGGGTTTGATTTATTTTCTCATTTTCACTCGGTCTAAAGGCAGCTGGGCAGTATTGCTGCAAAGCTCTAGCTGTGTGTCATTGTAATAGGGGCAATATGTTTGTTCACTTCTGCTCTCTTCCTCTGTCTAATTGTTCTATTGTCTTTCTGTTTTCTCTCCACATTGGGGCTGACAAAATGTCTCCTCGGGTTTATCCCTCTAGCCAAAACTTAACGGGCTCCTAATCAAGAACTAACACCACCAGCAGGCTATTTCCTGCCTTTGTTTACCATTTCTGGTATCCTCTTTCTTCTCCTCTCAGTCCATCATTACAAATTTTCACCATTATTTTCCTTTGACTCTTCCTCTGTATAGGGTGCAGGAAGCTTCCTAAATACTGTTCCCCTTTCTTTTTCTGACCACTTGTTTTTTGGCCGCTCAACTCTACACCCTGGAAGAGTACAGATACATCCAGAACCAGGTTTCACAAAGCCAAGTGGCCCTGGGATAACTGAATATTCCATGTAGCAGAATGTTTATTGTGGATCCTTGTAAAATTGTAAGGATGTTTTGAACATAAAAGGGGTGACCACAATGTAATTAATCACATTAATCATGGTACCTCTCACCATGGCTAGAATCTCCATGCATTGTCAGGATAGAATTCAGTTCACTAAACAAATGTTTTTAAGTTCAGTTTAGATGCCCTAAAACACAGGGCCTGATGTAATCTGGGAAACCCTGGCCCTTCCCAACTGCAACTGGAGATGGGTTAAAATACTTCAGGGTTTCCAAAATAGCATCAGTTGCCTATGCTTAAGTGACTGAATTCCTACCATTCGTTTAAATAACTCTGTGTTATTAAATAAATGTGTTTTGTGCTCAAGTGTCTTTTTCATGTTACTGCACAACTGACTTCATTTATTCTGCCACGGCTGCCCTGAGAATAGTGCATTGTGGTAGCCTCAACAGGGGATAGTCACTGGATAGGTTAGTATGACTTTTAGGAATCAGGTGAACAGAGTAGCCCTCTTTTTCCAACTCAAATATGCTTCTACCTTTATATGTCTAAGGTGAGGCCAGGATGAAGTTCAACCCAAATAAAATCAAATGTAGACTGGGAAAAATTATTAAGCATTATTTCTGATGTTCAGATAGGCAAGCAGAGTTATTCATCAGCAATTCTGGTGAGCTGTGGGACTTACTAATACCTAGACTATTTCATGAGCAAGATTCAGGCCACTGAACCTGAAGCCAACCTCACCTTAGGGGACTCCCTCAGACAGCCCCTCTGTACTTTCAGTTCGGAAAAGACATAAATGGGCTGCTCAAGGTGGAGGTTCAGAGCACCTGGGTTTAAATATCAGCCCTGAAATGTAATTTGAAGGGACCTATCTCATCTCTGACTATATTAGGCAGACTTGCTCATAATTATGTATGGAAAGTCAGGAGATGGAAATAATCTCTTGCAAGTTAAAGTAAGAGCAGTCATCTTTGTTGGCCACATTTCTCTGGCAAAATTCCTCCAGGGCATTTTTAGCCCTAAATGTATCTGTTTAGCTCACTTAACAGCTCAGCAATTCCCCCAGGAGCTTCTTGAGTGTATCTGGTGGGAGCTGGCACTAGCAGTGTGTGTCACTCAGAGCGTGCTGCTGGTGCTGGCTTTGCTGTGCTGGCAGGCAAGAGTGTACTCACTGCCCTTCCAGCCCCTTGGGGCCTGCTTGTCACCAGCCCTGGCTGTCATTCAGCTGTTCTGCAGTGTCACAGGCAGCACAGTCTCAATGCAGGGAATTTCACTTAATTTAATTTATTGCAAATTAATACAGCCTTTTAATTACTGATTTGTGTACTGAGGGGAAAAAAGAAATATACAATTGAACAAACTCAGGGAATTATTTCCCTTACCTTTCCTTATCTTTCTTCAGTCCTCCTTCAGTCAAACACCTCTCCTCCCTCCTTTCTCACCTCAGCTCCCTTTGTTTTCCCACTTTCCTTCCCTCCCAGTCCCTTCAGTGAGGTGACAGGCAATTGGGGTCCAGGTACTTTGGTTTCTGTCTCTGCAAATCACTTCTTGCCCTCTGCTCTCCTCACTTCTTACTGCTCCTGTGCCCCACTGTGGCTCATCCATAGCCTGTGAAGAAGTGGTGTGTAGTTGGTTTACTTCATATGCTTGTGGACTCATCTTCATTGCAAACATGTCAGGAAAACAAGATGGGTGTATTTTATCACACAGACTTACGCAGTCAATGAAAGTCCGGTGTCTAAGGCCTGTTTTAATCCTGCAGCCCTGGATGTAGCTCCCAGAGATGCAGCACCGGGACCAGCAGTTCAGGGCCAGTGCGATGCATGAGCAGGACCACCACACTGGGCCCCCCAGCCCCCATGCTGCCAGCTGCTGCTCAGGCAGGGGGGCAGCAAGGCCTCCCCAGCTGGAAAAGCAGACATGGTGCCCATGGCATGGAGAAACCCATAGAGCCCCAAAGCTCCTCCTCATCCATCCTGCAAAACAGAGGATACCTTCTTCCTTGGAGCTCCCGTTGACTTGTCATGTCTTCTTCAGCAAGCATAGAGGTTTTGATGAACCATCTAGTGGTTTTCCACAGAAATTAATGAAGAAACGCTGTGCCATGTGCAGAGGCATCAATTAAATTCTTTCTAAACAAAGACACTCTTGAGACCTTTTTTATCTTAGTCTTCTTTTTATCTTAGATTACCAAGTGAAGTTAATGCAGTATGTCAAATCAAAGCCACAAGGAGCAATTTGGGCAAGTCCTGATCTTAATTCAGCTCATCCAAGCAGCTCTCATGAGTGCAGAAGTTGGCCCAGCCATCTCTGGGCCACTGTATAAAAAACTGTGAAAAACTGATAGTTCTTCTTGTTTCTGTCAGATAGGAACTTATTTGTAATTATATTTTAAAGAAAACCCTAGAAAACAAAATCTCATTGTCCTACTCTGCTTTCTAAAGCACATAAATCTTCTGTAACTATAATTCTTAGCCCCATTGCAAATACAGTAGCACCAGTGATGCCTGGAATTCTTACAAAAACAGTATTAGAGTAAATGGTGAGCATATGTCAAATGAATCTACAAAACCAATGACTTTATTGAGAATATATATAAAATCCTTTGTCAACATAGTATACACACACATAACTTAAAATATTTAGTTGTACAGTGCTTATTGTACAGACAAACTATGCAATTAAGAAGGCTAATATGATAGTACAGTGGTGGTCATTAATATTCTAGCATACAAAGTAAATTAAAAATTGGCATGATCACCTAAAGCAGTATATTACAGCAAAAAAGTTAGATTTGAATACATGGTTTTTGAGGTTGGCAGAGAAAGAAAGTAAAAGATCTAAACTGATTGTCATGTGAAGGAGTGCAATAGGAAACAGTATTCTCAGTTTTACTGTTTCTGGCTTGTATCTTTTGTAATACACAATAGGGGAGTCTTTTCTCTGATTTGCTTTTAAGCCTTTAGCACAATCAAAAGCTGGAGGTATTGTAAAGAAAATCTGCAAATAGCATGAAAATGTCTTGTGGTGACATTCTTATTCAGGCTCTGGGCCTGATTTTGAAAGATCTGAAACACCCAGAGATAGCAATGCTAAGCTTTTCTGCAGGTCAGATATTTGAGGTCTAGAAGATTGTTTTATAATCTCATTTTCATGTTCTTGAAAATCTAGATATTATTTTTTATTCCTTTGTAGTAACCCATATTTTATTAAAACCATTCAGAACAGATATTTATGTTTTAAGTAAATTGTTTTTGCTTACCAGTAAGATATGTAACTCTGGTCAGCATTACAATCTTTGAGGAAACTGAT